ATTATATATATATATATATATATATATATATATATATATATATATATATATATATATATATATATATATATATATATATATATATATATATATATATATATATATATATATATATATATATATATATATATATATATATATATATATATATATATATATATATATATATATATATATATATATATATATATATATATATATATATATATATATATATATATATATATATATATATATATATATATATATATATATATATATATATATATATATATATATATATATATATATATATATATATATATATATATATATATATATATATATATATATATATATATATATATATATATATATATATATATATATATATATATATATATATATATATATATATATATATATATATATATATATATATATATATATATATATATATATATATATATATATATATATATATATATATATATATATATATATATATATATATATATATATATATATATATATATATATATATATATATATATATATATATATATATATATATATATATATATATATATATATATATATATATATATATATATATATATATATATATATATATATATATATATATATATATATATATATATATATATATATATATATATATATTGATATATATGTATATATATATGTGTGTGTGTGTGTGTGTGTGTGTGTGTGTGTGTGTGTGTGTATATAAAGTCAAATTAAATGCCTTGAATGTTTAAAATCTCATCTCAAACAACATCAAATAAACTGACTAGAAATTATTTTGAATAACTAAAAAAAATTGACATAATTAACATTTAAAATTACTTAGTTTTTAAATATGTTGATTAATTAATTCATTTGTTTAAATTTTTACATGATGATCTGAAAAAAACTAATTGAAAACTGAAATAATTAAATATAAGAACATGGAAACAGAAAATAAACGAACAAATGTAAGCGAAATACAGTTACAAAGCATGCTTTTCATTCTGGTTTTGAAGGTAAAACACAAATGCAGTACTATTTTGCATGATATTTTGCATTTCGCAGTAATTTGCATGAAATAATACCCTGCCATGTTCATCAGATTTACCGAGATTGTGTTTTTCCTCAGGTTTTTGGGGCGTTTTCCTCAGACCCTTTCAGAGTCAGCAGCTACTGTTACGGGACAGGAGAAACCTTTCTCTACAGCTTCAGTCCAGAGTTTCAGGTATGAGGATGAAGACATGCTGAAGATCTGTTTATCTTATCTGATCTGCTGTGTCATCTGAACTGGATTACATTTACTTTTAGATTACATTTATATTACTTTTACGTTAACATTTCGATTCATTTCATAGTAACATAATCTGACTACTTGTGGATTACATTTAGAATACTTTTGTATTATCATTTCGAATACTTGTGGATTACATTTAGATTACTTTTATACTAACGTTTCATAATTTTAAAGTACCATAATCTGACTACTTGTGGATTACATTTAGATTACTTTTATATTGTCATTTAGACTACTTGTGGATTACATTTAGATTACTTTTATATTATCATTTCGACTCATATCTGACTAGTGGATTACATTTAGATTACTTTTATACTAACATTTCATCATTTTAAAGTAATATAATCCGACTACTTGTAGGTTAAATTTAGATTACTTTTATCCTAACGTTTCATCATTTTAAAGTGCCATAATCTGACTACTTGTAGATTACATTTAGATTACTTTTATATTATCATTTCGACTACTTGTGGATTACATTTAGATGACTTTTATGCTAACATTTCATCATTTTTAGGTAACATAATCTGACTACTTGTAGATTAAATTTAGATTACTTTTATATTATCAATTTGACTGATTTCTGACTACTTGTGGATTACGTTTATATTACTTTTGTGGTATTGTATTTGGACAACTTTTGAATTACATTTAGATTAGTTTTGTGGTAACAGTAAGATTACTTTTATGTTAACAAAATCATACTATAAATAGACTACATGTGTGTGTATGTGTCTGATCACTAATGTGTGTGTGTGTATGTGCAGGTCTTCCGCTGGACTGGAGAAAACTCTTATTTCGTGAGAGGATTTCTGGACTCGCTGCAGATGGGTGGCGGAGGGTGAGTTCATTATCACTCATTAATGTAAAATCATAGCAGTTAATTAAGTTTCACTATATAGCTCACTCTTTTACTATATTAAAAATGTATTATACACATACATCACCTCTTTGAAAAGCACACTATATATTGTATATCGTCAGGTTAACACTCTTATTCTTTCTGATTTTGATTGTAATGTGATAACATGCACACTGTGTATAAAGTGCTGGAAAGTGTTATACAAATAAGAGATATTGCAGTTAAATAAACATTTTTAGTATTTGTTCTTTTAATTTAATTTACCTCAATGGACCAAATGAGATTTAATAAAAAGTAAATAAGCTTAAAAACATTATTATTATTATTATAATTATTGTTTTTAAACCAACAAGTTAAAAATCTAAATGAACACAACATTTATAAAAAGAAAAATCAATATCGGCGTAGAACAGCCTCTTTACGCAATACATAAAGCAGAAGCTGCTGATATTGTCCTTCATTGAAGAAATAAAAAGGATAAGCAAACGTTTTCTTAATCCGTATCACACTTCCACATCTATAAAGAGGAAGCTGCGCATAGTAGAGTAAAACAGCTTCCTCTTTTCTCAGAATCCGTTGTGGTTCACCGACTGCCAGACTGCTGTTAAAGTTTATAATTGATAACATTTATCCCACATGGCTGCTGAATGCTTGATTCTGATTGGCTGATGAGCATTTATTGTCAAGCTAAAGTAGTTCCGGCAGGTTTTTACAGCTCCTTATCACTCCGCTGAATGATTAGAGTTATTTCCCAGCTATAACAGTCAAAAATTACATCAGAGCACAACAGAAGGAGATGTGGAAGAAACTAGAGCTACAGCAGTTTGAGGAGGACACACAGCTGACTAATAAAGCCTCAGAATACAACATAATGCATTTTAATTCAACAAGCAACACATAATTTATTAATTTCAGCTTTTTTTCTATATTTAAATAGTCTGTTAAGTATTTTGCATGAAAGCTGCTGTGTTATTATATTATATTAATACACATTAAATGCATTTAAAGGCGTGTGATGATTTTGATAGCATTTCTACCTGACTAATACACTCTCAAACACAATGCTGTACGAAATGCATCTCATATTTAATGCAAGAAGTAAATCCACAGGTGAACTCTTCTAAAACACCAAGTTTGCATGCATGAACTGATCAGATGTGAAGAGTGAATGTGTGCGTGCAGATGTGCATGTCTAAAGCACATCTTTATTGATTTCCGCTGATTAAAAGCTGGATTTGTGTGTTCTCAGGGGTCCGTTCGGCCTGTGGTTGGACGCGGATCTATACCGCGGCTCCAGTTACTCCTGCAACACTTTCTGCAATCGTCCACTAAGCCTTCATCACGACTTCACCGTCCAGGAGCTGGAGGTGTGGAGCTTCGTCTGAGCCAAAAAAACGACAAATAAAACTAAAAAACATCAGAACCCGTTCACCGGTCGAGCCTGTTCACCCGCTCCTCCAAAATCAGTTAACGGCAGCGTGGATGTAAGGCAAGCTGAGGCAGATTTCAGTTCCTGTTTCCAGTAAGTGAGCTGCTGGAAAGGAAGTGCACACTGTGGATTCGCACTAGTGAGTGGCCTTAATAGGCAGCAAAGCACACTAGATGTGAGAGAAGCACTGAAGCGCTCGTGTGCAGTGTTGGGGAAAGATACTACTGAAAGTAATGCATTACAATATTAGGTTACTCCACTAAAAAGTAACTAGTGGCATCACTTAGTTACTCTTTAGGGTAAATCATGCATTATGTTACTTCTGAGTTAATTAGCGGAGGCTTGATCTCTTTCAGAACTTTGGTTTGTTCTTGTTTTTAATAGAGGAGCTCTGCAATTAACAATGCACTGTGCTCTGCAAAAAACGTGATGACTAAAAAGTCAAGACAAAAAATATGTGTATGTTGCTTTAACTTATTTTAATCAGCTAATCAGGTTTCAATCTAATTTTATAAAGTTATACAGAGTTTAGCTTAATGTCTTAAGTTATTTTATAAACTAATTCCTAGAGGATCATGTGCTTATGATTGACCACAGCCGGTCCTGCATTAGATTTACTTAGTCATATTCGTCTTGAAGAATCCCACACTCCTTCCTCTCTTTCCTAGCTGAACACGGGGGAACTCTCAAGATCTACCTGAGCTCAGTCTCTCCTCTCACTTGATAAAACGGGAGGGAGCCCCGAGCTCGAGGATTTTCCGAGCTCAGGGCTTTCTCCCGGGACAGCAAGCCAAACATGCCTTATTATCAATCATCTGAGTGTGAACTCTTGAAGACGGATGTAAGTTGAAATGACTAGACTAGTTAATTTCATTCATTCTCTTTTCAGCTTAGTGCCTTAATTAATTCAGGGTTGCCACAGCGAGATGAACCGCCAACTTATCTAGCACGTTTTTACACAGCAGATGCCCTTCCAGCCCAAACCATCTTTGGGAAACACCCATACACACTCATTCACACTCATACACTACGGACAATTTAGCCTACCCGATTCACCTGTACCACATGTGTTTGGACAGTGGGGGAAACCGGAGCACCCGGAGGAAACCCACGCGAACAGAGGGAGAACATGCAAACTCCACACAGAAACGCCAACTGACCCAGCTGAGGATCGAACCAGCGACCTTCTTGCTTTGAGGCGACAGCACTACCTACTGCGCCACCGCGTCGCCCTTAGTTAATTTGATTCAACTACAAAAATTAAAGATGCAATCAGTATACAGTGTTTAACCTTGATTTACCTCTTAAAAACACATAAGAAATAAAGATAATGTTAAATTCGGAGGACTTCCCGATGGCTCTGCATGCTGTAAATACAGATTAATGAATGTTTAAAGCAACACATTTGCCACTTTTGTGCTTTTAGTCTTATTAGTGCAGTAAAATCACTGTTTATTGAGACTATAATCCCCTTTTCCTGTTCTTCAATGGGTTAATAATAATAAACACATTCTTTCGTTAAACGTTAATTTTAATTCAGCAATTTATTTTTTTTAAGCGCTAATTAATTCAACTAAAAAGTATCTCAAATATTAATTTTCCCTCGGCTTAGCTCCTTATTTATCAGGGGTCGCCACAGTGGAATGAACCACCAACTATTCCAGCATATGTTTAGTTTTTGTTTAGTTTTAGTTTAAAACTTTATTAATCCCCTTGGGGCAAAACATTCGGACATGGTGGTGCTTCACATATAACAAGAATAACACACTTAACACAATAAACACAAACACATCAAGTACACACACACACACACACACACAAAAATCAATAACAATAATAAATAATAATAACTAATCTTAATGATCAATCGATTAACTACATTAATTACGTAATCGAATTGCTCCAGGCACAAAAGTATGCAGTAGTTTTATGCAACGGATGCCCTTCAGTGTGCAACCCAGTACAGGGAAACACCCATACACACTCATTCACACACACACACATGCACTACGGCCAGTTTAGTTGATCAGTCCCCCTATAGCGCATGTGTTTGGACTGTGGGGGAAACCAGAGCACCCGGAGGAAACCCATGCCAACATGGGGAGAACATGCAAACTCCACACAGAAACACCAACTGGGCCAGCTGGGACTCGAACCAGTGACCTTCTTGCTGTTAGGCGACATGTTATTGCTTTTTTTTTTAAGTAATGCATTACATGTTACTTAGAGAAGTCATATTGTAAGGCATTTCCCCCAGCACTGCTCGTGTCCGTCATAATGCACTTCACTGAGGTTTCAACTTTTCTGATTATGAGTGTGTTTTAATAACCTGCACCTTTTGTAAAGCTGCTTCGGGACAGTTATTATTGTGTGGGAAAAGTGCTATTCAAATAACCTGTCACTGAATTGAATTGAAAGTTTGGTCTATGAAGCAGATACTGTTTGGTTGGCTGTGTGTGTGATTGAGAGTTATTCTTATTTTTTGTACTCTATTTAAGAGCTTGTCATGATCACTGTTCTGATGTTTGATGTGTGCTGTTTTTAACATTATTAACATGCAGTGCTGGCGCTGTTTGTTGGACTTTCTAATAATAAACATGTTGTTTTTCCAGAAACTGTGTCTGGTTTTTTGGATTATCTGCTTGAGTAAGGCTTTAGATAACTGTTTACGTCAGAAAGGTTGCGCTTAAGATAATCAGTAATAAGATGATCAATATTGAAAGTTCTTTGTGCTGTATTTGTCGTGTGTATGTGATTTGTCCATTGTATTTAAAATCAGCATTATTTAAATCACAGTTCAAAGATGTAGTAAAACATTTAATCTACAATCTCACGTTTCTAAATTTGAGAATGGAAATTAAATTACCTTTTATTTAAAGCGTAGATCTGTTTATTTAGCAGATTTAAAGAAAATGAAGTCAGATTCAAATAATCATTTCAGATATTTTAGTAAATATGATGCCAAATAAATACTAATTTTATTAAATAAATTGGTAAATATACCATATAATGTTGGTGGCACGGTGGCTCAGTAGTTAGCACTGTGGCTTTACAGCAAAGGTCTCTGCTTTGAGTCCTGGCTGGGTCAGTTGGTGTTTCTGTGTGGAGTTTGCATGTTTAATTATTTATTAATTTCAGATAAGCTTATAATGACTACATGTGATGAACTTATTGTACAGTTATAGTTCATATAGTATAAATAAAGTGCATTTAGCTGTTTTTAAGTTGTGTAATGTAAAAACTGAACCTGTAAGATCTATTTGAACAGCAGGAGTCAAATCTCTTAATCTTGAACCTTCATAACACTCTGTGCTCATGATAAAAATAGCATTTAACGCCTGTGTGAATGTTCATTTCACAAGGAGCAGATCAGCATTATGTAAACCATAAAACTGTTGGAATGAATCTGTGGTGGTGTTTGATGAAGAAACGCTGAACCTGAAGGCTGATCTGTGAGCAGCAGCGCCACCGTCTGCATTAAAGGAGCACTGCACACAAACACTTATATCACAATTGTGACTCAAAATTCAGATTTTATATCACACAATAGCAACTTAAAAACTCAAAGTTCTGAATTTAAATCACAAATTTAGGACTTTATTACTCAGAATTCTGACTTTAGACAGCATAAATGTGACTTTAAAACCGAAAATTATGAGTTTATGTCATGAAATTTCAACCTTATAACTCAGAATTGTGACTATATCACGGAATTGTGACTTTATAACTCAAAATTCTGAGTTTATTTCACACATTTGCAACTATAACTCAAATAACTGACTTTATAACTCAAAATTCTGAGTTTATATCACACATTTGCAACTATAACTCAAATAACTGACTTTATAACTCAAAATGATGACTTGATATCATGCAATTTTGACATTATAACTCAGAATTGTGACTTTATAACTCAAAATTCTGACTTATAACTTAAGAAATCTGACTTTATATTATGCAATTGCGACTTTATAAGTCATAATTCTCACTTTATAAATCAGAATTATGACTTTATATCTCGGAATTGTTACATTATAACTCAAAATTCTGAGTTTATATCACACATTTGCGACTATAACTCAAAATACTGACTTTATAACTCAAAATTCTCACTTAATATCACACAATTCGACAGTGTAACTCAGAATTCTGACTTCTTATTACATAATCGCGACTTTAAAAACTCAGAATTGTGACTTTATATCACGGAATTGTGACTTCATAACTCAAAATTCTGAGTTTATGTCACAAAGTTGTGACTGTTACTCAAAATACTGACTTTATACCTGCAAATTCTGAGTTTATATCCCAATTACAACTTTATAACTCATAATTCTGGCTTTAAACGCAGTTAAGACTTTACAACTTCAAATTCTGACATTATATCACGGAATTTAGAGTTTATAACTGCAGACTCTGACATTATAACTCAGATCTCTGGCTTCTGAAGCCGCAATAGCCATTCTTAGGCCTATATTTTACTCAGAGGCGGGAACGGGCTTCAATTAATAAACAGAAACCAATGCGTCTCTGTCGCCCCCTGGTGAAGTTCAGCTGTAACCGCAGAACATTGACATAAAACTAATAACCGAAAAGATAAATCATCATCATAATAATCTCAATTATCATCATGTAAATAAATGACTTTCTCGTGATTTATGGGTAGACTAGAAAACAAATGCGCGCGATGACAGACTGTGGCCGCAGTTTCCGGCGGAAGTGAAGTCTCCACTTACAGGATCACTTCCTGGAGAGTGTTGTGTTGTCGAGTGTCTGTGTGTGTTTGTGTTCGGCTTTCCAGACGCGTGTTTCTGCTCTCCGTCATGAGTGGTGTGTGTGTTTCTCGGTGTCACTCGGACTGACTGCTGTCGGTGAGTTTATCTGCACGCACACACACACACACACACACGCGCGCACAGCTTCATCCTCATCGTGATGAAGCGGACAGTGAATGTAAACATTGGTGGATGTATTCAGCTCATCGTCTGCTCGTGTGCGTTCTGTGTTGGGTTGTGTGTGTGTGTTTGTGTGTATGATTGTGTGTGTTTGTCTATCGTTGTGTGTGTTTTGTCTATTGTTGTGTGTGTTTGTGTCTCCTCAGCACCTCATTCCGCCTCCCTCGGTCTATTTTCTCCTCAGATTCCCCGAGATGAGGCTGTTTCTGTGTCGGTCTGTGCTGTTTTGTGTCGTGTTTTGTGTGAATCTGCTTTCTCTTTCAGTTTGACATCTTCATCTGTCAACAGTGAATCAGCTCTAGAATAAAAGCCCCGGATATTATTCACAAAACACCTGCATATTTAAAGCAAAATATTCATTATACAGCGGTATTATCCTGGATGACATGCTTATAATGATGATTCCTGCGTTGCTTTCGCTTTTGTAATGCTATATGACATGTTTACGTGGCTCTCTGGAATGCTTGATTCTGATTGGTCCAATCACGACATTCAAAGGTATTTTCCTGACCAATAAGAATAGTTTAAAATATGGCTGGAGTTAGGCAAGTTACTTACAAGATGTAACACATTATACAATACTAGTTACTGTCATTTTATTGTAATTAGTATCTTATCAATATTACTAGCTCTAAAATCTAATGCATTACAATACTTTTGTATTAGCTTTACGTTAATGTTATCATTCACTGGCATTTCTGTGTGGAGTTTGCATGTTCTCCCCGTGTTGGTGTGGGTTTCCCCCACAGTCCAAACACATGCGCTATAGGGCAATTGGGTAGGCTAAATTGGCGTAGTGTATGAGTGTGTGTGTGTGAATGAGTGTGTATGGGTGTTTCCCAGTGATTGATTGCATCTGTAAGGGCATCCGCTGTGTCGAACATATGCTGGACAGGTTGGCGGTTCATTCCACTGTGGCGACCCCAGATTAATAAAGGGACTAGCTGAAAACGAATGAATGAATGTTACCATCACTAATAATAATGCTAATATCATTAATGCTTTATTTTATAACCACATTATTATGAATATGTATTATAGTTTTGCCATGACTTGTAATTATTATCAAGATTTTAAGTCATCATATCACAGCGGTTGTTTTAAATATTACAATTATATATAACAAAAACATGAAACATGTTCTCTAATATTATTAGCTGAACTGTTTTATCAAATAAATACAATGCTTGTTTATTTTTATGACGCCAGATAGTAAATGGAATGTGATGGAGTGGAAACTGTGATGTCTTTACCCAAGGTTATCATACCGCATAGATATATACACTAGATGTCGCCTACCCTGTTGTTGTCTATTGGACGGAATGCGTCAATAGAGTCGCCATTTTAGTACAGGGTAGCGCTCCATTGAAATGAATGCAGGACCAAGCCAGAAAATTACACATATATACATATATCTATGAGCGGGAGTTTTCCCGGAGGTCAGTAGGCAATTTTCTTTTTTAAATTATGAAAATTATATTTTACATCACTTTTCTACATTGATGGATCAGTGATCACACTGGCATTCCTGACAAAAAGCTTGTGTTTGTGTGTGTGGAAATATACTATTTACCCTCCTTGTTAAATTTGATCTAATTGTTGTCCTTTAACACCCACCCTCTCTCACTTTTACTTCTCATACTGACGGAGAGAGCGATTCGTTTGTGAATGAATCTCCATTATGAAGGACTCATTCATTAGCCGACAATAATTCAAGTTTCTGGCAGCGCAGCATCTCGTTGTCATATTTCTTTTGCATTGTTTGCTGATTTTATTCAACAAAACTAGCATATGCAGAGTGTTTAGTGCGAGTTGGAGCTGCTTTGCCGTATGGTGAATGCAGTAAGTGACTGTTATCATCAATAATGTGACCTGATTAGCACAAAAGTTCAGAACATACTAAAACGTAAAAAACGTAATCTTACACAGGGCTTTACACTATCTTTTTTGATCAGCAGCCACTGTGGCTAGTAGATTTTCAACATTACTAGCCACTTGCCATTTTCACTAGCCACAATTTTGTTGTTTGGAAAATATATTATAAATAAACAATGTGACTTTGACCTGCTAAAATGACTTGATTTAGATGTTGTGGTGTCCACATGCCTCCTCATTTATTTCACTGTTTGTGTGTGTTGTGTGTGAACGTGCTCACTGTGGATGAGCAAATGGGTTGTGTCACATTGCAATTAGTTTTTGCTTCATGTGACTTTTTAGGGTTCAGAATAAAGGTTTTACCAAATTCATCTCTAACCACACCAAAAAGACATAATTATTTCTTAGCCACATATTTAAATGTGTCAAAACAAGCAAATATATAGCTGTATACATGCACTTTATTCAACAAAACCTTTTTTTAATGAACATTTTAAAAGATCTATTGTCATGCATCTAAAATATGCAGAGTAATGTGTCCTGGCTAAAGGTCTCAGATCAGCAGTTACTATACACAAATGGGGAGATAATCTCATATTAAAGAAATGTTATTGTAAAGGATGATAATTAAACTATATTAACAAAAATAACTGTAAGCAAAAGAAAGCAGGTAAAAACACCACAAGTGATAATGAAAGGATGATCACGTGCCTGAGAATAATTAAAACAAAAGCAGTGACTGCTGCTGATGCTTACAAATATATATATTTTTCAATCTTGATCTCTTAAAAGCAGCAGGACTCTGGGAACACGAGCATCGTTTTCTGTCTAGTCTTTTTCAGAGAGAACCGATCGCAAATGAACGGAAAAAAGCGCAAGTAAACGCTTTTAACAGTCGCACTCTTCACATCACATCACCTGTGCGCGCGAGTAATCATCCTCTCATAATGTATTCACCTGCTTTGTCTCGCGCGAACAGTTTTCAGTCGTTCTGTTACTCGATTCAAAGATCACATTAGCACGCATATTGGGCCATCCTTATTGTCAAACCCTGCTTTAAGAAAATGTCAAAATTATTTCCAACCTGCCAAAGTGGCTGGTGGGAGCGGCTGTGTAACCCGCCAAAGCTGAAATCTACCCGCATTTGGCGGGTTGGTGGGTGTTAATGTAAAGCCCTGATCTTACCTATGTAATGTTCTGCCTTTGTGCTTTGTTTTCTTTGTTTACTACACTCGTAGACAGAGTTAAAGTCCCGCATCTTCACGTAATAACACTGTGTTGGCCAGTGCGGTTAAATGACACTTGTCCTGGGAGCACTGTACCAATATGGCGGCGCTATTGATGCATGCTCGGGGTCCCTATGCGATATCTAGTGTATATATCTATGATCATACACTGCAAAAAATGCTTTTCTTACTTAGATTTTTTGTCTTGTTTCTAGTCCAAATATCTAAAAATTCTTAATTCGAGAATAATTTTCTAGACAAGCAAAACATTTTGTCTTGTTTTAAAAAATGATCTGCTAATACTAGGTGATTTTTAGCCTAAAACAAGCAAAAAATCTGCCAATGG